TGTTCATTTATTGTACCAACTGATGCAGAAGTCACTCTTTTTTTTTTTTTTTTTTTTTTTTTTTTATTGGGGTCTTGTTTTGTTGCCCTGGCTAGTCTCATACTTGAGGGCTGAAGTGATCTTAAGTTACTGGCACTACAGGTATGTAGTACCATACCCATCTGGGAAGTCAGTCTTTTAGGTGAATTAACAACAATCTTCTTAACTCTTAAGGAGCTCTACATTTTACAGATGAACTGAAGCACAGAGATAAATAACTTGCCCAGTTTCACCCAAGAATTCTGGTTACAGGCATTTGTTTTTTGGATTTTTTTTTTTTTCCTTACTGAAACAAGGCCTCAGAAAATTGGTTTAAGACTCAGAGTTGTTGTTCTCCATGGAAATTTTTTCTTTTTAATATTTATTTTTTAGTTTTATGTGGACACAGTATCTTTAATTTATTTTTATGTGGTGCTGAGGATCAAATCCAGTTCCTCATGCATGCCAGGCAAGCGCACTACCACTTGAGCCACATCCCCAGCTCCCTCCATGGAAATCTTTTGTAATTGAAAGATTTATGCAATCTTAGAGAAACCAGAGTGTCAGGCATTTGTTTTTGATTGACTACATGAGTCCCTCTTTTTCTTCTAATTTCTTACCTGGTCAATGTTTGCCAGGACTTGCCTGGATCTTCATTGGTAAGAAACCAACAAAGCAGAACTAGTCGATGAGCAGTCTAGGAACTCCAGTTTGCTTATAGCTCCCCTCTCAGGTGTCAGATAAGGACCTTTCTTCGCCTACTATATCTTCCCTCACAGAGCTGTTTCTTTTCTTGCCACAGGAATTGTGCGAGAGCTGAAAAGTCGAGGAGTGGCCTACAAATCCAGAGACACGGCTATAAAAACCTAGCAAGATTCAGGCTGCCAGCATCTTTTCAGTCCACCTCCTTCCTCTGCTTATTTTTTGTTGTGGAACTAAACAGGCAGAACTTCAAATACTACTTGCCCTCCAACTCTGAGAATGAACAGACAATTGAGAGATTGTCTGTCTCCACCATTTCACCTTGGGATAGTGGTGGAGGTGGAGGGGTTGGGGCTGGAGGGTTCACAGAGACTGAATTGAGGAGAAAGGATGCTGGTATTCCTGCTCACACCCTGGGCTGTGCTTTTGCCCATGGGCAGTACTTTGAGTTAAATTCCAATTAACATGAACCACTGGAAAATTCTTAAAACTATGACACATGGCTTACCTCCCTCTCCCTTTCTTTCAGCTAGGCACAATAAGGGCTCACTTGCCTGGTAAGCACCATCCAACACAATAAAGGCTCTTCTGCTCTTGTCACCTGTTTCTGGGCCTCCAGAAGTCAGCCTTCCCACCATACTTGCTTGAGTTTCATTGGAAGGTCTGCTGTTCTGTGGCACAGTAACCTCTCAGTGTAGTCCCACTGTCTAGTGCTTATGTCTTGCCCTCTAGACCTGTCATATCAGTCTCTTGAAATCTTGAGGCTTAGTGTTCTTTGCTCCTTGACTTTGTTCAATACTGCTTCTTTTCCTTCTTTGTCTCTTTATATTTACTGATCTACCTATAACTTTGGCTAGTCTCATCGTCATTTTACATTCCCCTCTGGAGACCTTCCAGCCTCAGGTGGGTCTTGTCTGGAAGTTTGTGCCTCTGTGGGAAGTTGGCTTTGCCTTCTCTAACTTGGTAGGGTGCTTTGGGTAATTACAAGGGCCAAGGTGAGTTACCTGTTTTAAAATTTAAAAATTACCATAAACTCATTTATTTAAGTTTCCACAGAAATCCTATTAGTATCCCCATTTTGATTTAAGTTCATCCATAAAGTGACTTAAGTGATTATACTCTATTTACTTCAAGATTCTTGTGATCAGAAATGAAGCAATGTGCTAGGCATGGTGGCACATGTTATAATGAGGCAGGAGGATCACAGGTTCAAAGTCAGCCTCAGCAACTTAGGTTGTAAGCTACCTAGTGAGACCCTGTCTCAAAATGAAAAATAAAAGGCTAGGCACGTGGCCCAATGGTTAGGCACACTTTGGTTCAACCTCTGGAACCAAAAAAAAAAATGAAACTGTAAAAATTCTAGAATATAAATCTTACAAAAAGCAAAATTCCTGTGTTCTTTGCTTATTATTATTATTATTTATTTATTTTTTTAGTGTATACAATATGTGCACATAATCAAAATGGTTGTGGGTGGGGATGTGTGAAGTGATGCCTAGAACCACAACTGCAGGGTGACCTCTGACTCACTAGCAGAGCTGCCTGCACTAGGCTTTGTGTCCCTTAGCCACCTGGTGTTGCTAGTGAGTCAGTTTTGGGTTTACCTGTGACCCTGCCTGAGAAAGAAGAGAAATGCTGACTAGTGTCTGTCTTCCTCCACACTATGTTTGTCCCCTTTTAGGCTTGTGGGATGATTGCTGGGACTGATCAGGCCACTCTTATCCACTCCCAGGTTCTCCTCAAACTGGAACCATTTCACTAGTGCCATCAAGTTCTGAGGGAATTGGTCTATTAACCTCATTTTCCAAATTCGGCTCGATGGGTATATATTTCTCTCAATTGGAGTTCAATCTGAAAGGAGCTTTGGTCAGCAACCCTGCCAGGACACAGTTTACATGAAGTGTAAGCTTCCAGAAGTGAAGAAGTGGGATTTGGCAAGAGTGCCTAGGCTGTGCAACCAACCCCCAAACTTTCACTGTCTTTCTCAAAAAGTCCCTTGGAAAGTCCCAGCTGCCGTCCTAGGTGTCTGACCCGGACGTGGCTGCTTAGTGAGAATGGAAACAGTTGTGGGGAGAGAAGGCAGGAGGAGCTGTGCACAAATAACCACACGTGGCTACCTCAGTCCCACACTGAACTGGGTGCTGCTAATCTAGCAGGAAGCGAAAGACAGGCACTAATGGTAGTGGGGGAAGGGGCTTGTTTCAGCTCTGCCTGGGAGTTGCTTCTGAATCACTTTCTTGCCTTCTCTGGTACTTAAATAGTGCAGATTAAGATGTAGGAGTCCCATCCTGTAGCGGGAGCCCAAAGAAACTAAGATGGACTTGGTTCCAGGCTCCCTGAGGGTGAGTGGTGCTGGTACTGCTGCCCTGAATTCCACAGCCATGAAGGCTCCATCCTGCCCATTGTGTCTGTTTGGCTCCACTCCATAATCTGGGGTTCTGAGTCTGCCCAGGATATTAAGATCTCTTAGGCTCTTGCTTTTTTAGTACTTTGATCTCCTTCAGAAGGGCAAGACTCCTCAATTCATGATATATCAGAGACTAGAAATAGTAGGCAGGTTACTTTCCCCTTGCCTGCCTATTCCTCATTTACCTACCAAGTGCTGTTCAGTTAGGGTCTCCTCAGAAAAGAATAGCAGTGCACTGGGGACTACAGCCACCAGCCCAAGGAGGAACTGATAGCTGATAGATCAAGGGTCAGAACATTCTAGTCTTGGAAGAGAGGGGCTGATGAGAATCTAAGCTCAGGCTGGGCTCATCAGGTTTGGGGACTGAGCCCTTGCACTTGGTGTGGCCTGTTACTTCCAGCCTGTCCACAATCTGCTGCTTAATCTTCATGTCCCTTCCCTGATGTCTGATCTCTGCATAAAAAAAGAGGCAGGTATGTAATGGTAAGAACAGACTAAAAATATGTTGTCTGGAAATCTGGTTCATGTTTAGTATCAGTAAAACCTTTTGTGTAAATAGCATTTTGCAGTTGACAAAGGGCTTTCACATTCTTTGTCTCATTTGATCCTCACAAAACCCCTGAAACAGTTAATAACCTTATTTAGTGATGAGGAAACAAGTTCAGAGAGTTGATTGGCCTAGCCATGATTAACTAGTGGAGCGTTAGCTCAAGAAATAGAATGCCCACACCCAGTTGAGAGCTTCTGGTTCCCCATAATTATCCCCAAACACAACACTTTGTAAGAGTTCCACAGAACCAGTGTGAGGCATTAGTTTTCTGTTCAGTGAGGTTAAAACATTGTCCTTATACACTGAATCCCCACCAACCACCCTACTCTTAATACCTCTATTTCCCTTTTTATCCAAAGAGGGAGAGGCAGCGGGGGTAATGGCCCAGGGAGGAGATCCTTAGGACTACTCAAGGGTCCAGCCCTTTATTTTCCTGGCTGCATCTTTTCCATTCCAACCTTCTTGGACACTTGCTGACTTGTGCCCTACATTGCCCAACCTCTCTTCTGCATTTTCCTCCTCCCCACCTACCTCCATCTGCAGCCTGATAATGGCACCATCACACCCCCTGGAACACAGACTTGTGTGATGAAAATGTGTATCCAGCTAAAGGCAGAGTCCTTGGTTTCTAGCCCCACTACCTCCACCTGCCACTACCCCTGTGATTTTTTTTCTATTTTTTTAGTTGTAGTTGGACACAATACCTTCATTTTTATGTTGTGCTGGGGATTGAACCTAGGGCCTCGTATGTCTAGGTGAACCTCTACTGCTGAGCCATGACTCCAGCCCAACCCCTTCTCTAAACAAAATTTCTTCTCGACGAAATGCAATTGACAGAGCTATAATGTAAGGTGGCAAGATAGTGGTTCCTGTGACAGGTGTGGATGGAAGAGAGCATGAAGGGTATCTACCGTGCTGGCTATATTCTATCTTGATGTGGATGCTAATTGCATGGGTCAGTTCACTTTCTGAAAACTTGATGTTAAATACTTGTGATTTGTTCGATTTTCTGTTTGTATGTTATACTTCAAATAAGGTTTGCTTATAGATATAGTTGGTGGTCCCTGTCTTAGGGTCGCTGTAAGATTCAAATACTTAAAATTGCTTTCAAGTAAGCAATTTGAGAGCTATGAACTACTAAGTGTATGAAAGGGATTCTCCTTATCCAAAGTCACCTACCTCTGTATTGTAGGTAAACGTGGCTAGAATTTTATCCCTTTAGCATTGTTGGGTAACATTTGTTCCAATACATCTATCATACATAAATATTTGTTCAGGGACCAAAACTGCTTTTTGTTTTAATCTTTCTGTTCTCATTTTTTTTTTGTAAGATTTTTTTTTTTTTCATAGTGCTGGGGATTTAAGCTAGGGCTTCATGCGTGCCAAGCAAGCACTCTACCACTGAGGTATATTCCCAGCCCAATTTAGGAAAAAAAATATTTTTTTAAATTTGGAATTGGGGATTGAACTCATGGCCTCATGCCTCGTCCTTGGGTACCTTAGGTGAATACTCTACCACTGAGTTATACCCCATATCTTTTATTTTAAGACAGAGTCTCACTAAATCGCTGAGGCTGGCTTCAAACTTGCTGCCTTCCTCCTCCTGCCTCAGCCTGCTGAGATTACAGGCATGTGCCACCATGCCTGGCTCCATTTTTTTTTTTTTTTAATGTATTGGCTACTTTGCTGTTTGAATACAGGATTCTGAATGTGGTTTAACCTACTTGATCCCAGAAATGATTACTTTTCTACCTCTTGGATTCATAACCTGTCTGCTCTAGCTTCTGTTTCTCCTGTGTTGCTGTCTCTATTCCAGTGTATTTGAGCCAGAGAATAGAAATCCCTACTTGGGGCTATCTATGCCTTTGGCTGAGCCAATAAACTTAGATTAAGGAAAGCACATGGCTGCCTGCCTGGGCCTTGGGGTAGTATAGAGACCTTCACCTATGGGAGGGCAAGATCCAAAGTGTTGAGACTGCAGGGAGTGAAGGCAGACCATAGAACATCAGGACTGGGAGTCATGAATTGTCCAGCCCCACATTTTATGAGTGAGAGGACTGAGTCCCACACACAGTGTCAGACCAACCTTGAGAGGGATCACTGTCACTTTGTATGTCCTGCATTGCCTGGCTCAGTGCTTTTTGCCTCAAGAGACTGCATTTATCTTCGTGTGAAGAGTTCAGGAATTGAGTGCAGAGAAAACTGCCTTATGCTGCTGGCACCAAGATGCCAGATACTCTGAGAATTATGATGGACAATATCTCCCTTCTAGGTTTTGGCACTTAACATTCTCAACATTTCCCTTCAGGGCAGAGGGCAGGCAATCTGGTATGTGAGGACTTAGAGCCTGAGGAGCTTTCCTTAGGGGTCTATCCCAAGGCAGATAGAGACCTGGGCCTCTATGACAGGGTGGAGGGGGGTGTTGGCAGACCCATTTAAGAGCTCTACAAGCTGCTTCCTGCCTGAGCCTTTGTACTACTTGGAGAGCTTGAGGGAAAGTAAGGAGCAGCTTAGGACACCAGGGTGGAGGACCCCAACTTCCAAAAGGCATTCTTTTACCTAGTTCCCCAAACCCAGCACCTGCCACCCTTCCAACTCCTCCCCCATCCCGGAAAATACCTGGAAGGAAGTGAGCGCTCTGGGGCCACTAGCCGGAAGTGGGGGTTTAACTGTCACCTCTTCCCTTGGGGCTTGGGTAGCAGAAGACAGAGGGGGAAATGCAAATCCATACTTGGGAGGGAGAACTTTGAGAGGAAGAGGGTAGCAGCCTTGCCCCCCCCTCCCCCGCATTCCTTCAGGGCCTTGTGGTCCCAGCTAGGACTGGGGAGGCCTATAGAAGGGAGTGATCAAAAGCCCTGGAACAAGTTAGTAGCTGCCCCACCCTATGCAGGGAGAGGCAGCACTTTCTCTGAGCAGCTGAGAAGACTCACTTCCTCAGCCCTGCACCCTGCAGAAGCAGAGGAGATGGAGGGCGGGGTCTCAGGCAGAGAGGTGGGGCATGGTCTGAAGTCTTTCAGAGCCAGGCCCGGGAAGAGGAGGCAATGGAGGTAGACATGGCTCTGGGGAATGGGTTGCAGGGAGAGAAGGTATCTACTCTGTGTCTATAGCAGAAAGGACTAAACTTTGATTTGGAGGACCCCCTCCGGCCCCTGTACCTCCTCCACTCTTAGAGCCAGAATTGAACCACATGGTGTCTTGCAAAGGGATCTCTTACAGAATTGGAAGTAAGAATATGAAGGGGAAGCAGACCATGGGCTTGTATTTGTACAATAACGTATATCAGTTGGCAATTTCCAGGTTTGGCCACCTCCATTATTGCATTTGATCCTCAGTGACATCCTGTGAGGCATTATTATTCCCCTTTCACAGATGAGAAGACTGAGTTTCCGTTAGATCATTTGCCTGAGGTGAGGTTGGGGGCCAGGCCCCACCAGGCAGCACTGGTGTTTCAGCCCAGCCCTTTCCTCCTTGCATAGCACTGCTGTCCTTAAGGCTACTCCTCAGTTCCGCCATGGCAGATGGGGATTGAGGTCCCATAACTAGAGCAAAGGTTTGGGGGTCCTTCTTTTCCTTTTGCCTCCTTGAGCCCCAGTCTATATGTGGGGATCCTGGGGGTGCAGGTCCACCGACCTCAGCACCAAGGTCTATTTAGGAGTGAGGGACTCAATGCCTCCCCCTTGAAGTGGGGCAGCAGTGTTGAGGAGAGTTCTGCCTGTCCCTCTCCTGCCCCCATTAGGCCTCAGACTCTCCCCTCCCCTTCACTGAGCCACAGCTCCATGACGAAGCCACTGGCACCCCATTGGCCCGCCTAAGAGCATTTGCCCTTATTTGGCCAGGCCTGCTCTAGGCCTAAGCAGGGCCTCCACCCCCAGCCCAGCCCCCGCAGGCCTGTCTCTCTCACTTCATCTTTTTGAGGTTTGGCTTTGGGGCCCAGCGGGCGCCTCTTCAAACGCACTTTCTGGTTGAGTCACTTTTTAACGGCTCCAGTGCTGTGAACTGCTGCTGCTGCTGTTGCTGCTGCTACAGGGGGCCCCCCAGCCTTGGTGGCCAACCTATCCTCCTCTGTGCTTAAGAGGTTGTAGAGGAAGGGGCTGGGGGACAACTGGACTTTGGAGAGATTCTGCAGTCCACTTGGTTGCCCACCTAGACCCCTCTCCTGGGGAGTCCTTTCCCAGCTCCCTTCTCAGGTTGGATTTGTGAGCAGAGACAGTTCTCTCAAAAGATTTGTTCTTTTGGGGGGCACTTTCAATGTGCTCCCTTGGGAGAACAGAAACATGGGCTGCAGGCTGTTGGCCCATTTTCAGGAAGGTGAAACAAGCTTGCTGAGCTTCCGGTTCCTCATTTCTGAATTGGGGATACTATCATTTACCTCAGCATGCTGATCAAATGAGATTCAGACTGAATGTGTTTAGGAGTCCTTTGCCTTTCCCCAGCTCCACGTCTAAAGACATGAGCGTCCTGATCCAAGAGCTTCAGCATAGCTCAGTCTCTTCTTCCTACTTCTCCCCTTCTACTTTTCCAGATGTGCCTGGGATGCAAGGAATCCTGTAGGGGATAGTAGGTTGTCAGGAAGGAATAGGTAACCCTTTGCCCCTTGTTTTCCACCAGATAAGGGGACAATTCTGTTAAAGAGTCCTTGCTAGCCAGCCTGCCTTGGCTGGTCTTCAGGAGGCCTGTAGCCCTTGAGGCAGGTGGGAAGATTCATGGCTGCTCTATGAATAGGGTTTTAGAACACAGATGCTGCCACTTCTTCCTCCTCCAAGGTCCCAGCCCCATTGTTCTTGACTCCTTTGCTTAATTCCCCCCACCCTGCCCTTGCAATTTTATAGATGAAGAGAGACAGGCTCGGGGAGGGAGTTGAGGGGCAGAATAAGGCCCAAAGTTATACTGTAAATAGCCACAAGCTAGGGACCAGGCCCCAGTCTGTTGTCTTCCAATTTTGTCCTCTTAGTGGCCCTGATATTGAGGTAGGGAGTCGGGCTGATGAGAATCATAGTGGGTTTCAGGCAAGGAGAACCAATTCTCTCTCTCTTTTCTCCCTCTCTCTCTCTCATGCACACACACCAGTGTTTATTCAAAACAATTAAAACTAGGGCAGATGCAGCTATGCAAGATAAGCTAGGCACCCCTGAAAAGAGGGAGCTTTCATTTCCCTGCTTGCGTCCCTAGGAGATCCCACAGAATACTTCTGGTTTATGACCACGCCCATGGCAGTGGTCAGGGTGGCCTTCGTCCTCCCACTCACACCTCCCTTCCTACCCTGCCCCTTTGCCTTTTCCCAGATGCTGTGGAAAGAACCCTGAACTTGGTTGTAACTTGCTTTGTGACCTCAGGCTGCTTTCTGTCTCTCTCTGGGCTTGCAGCATGGTTCCCTGACTCAGGGCCAGTTGCCTGAGTTTGCTTCTTAAAAGTCTTGGATCTTACGATCTGAAGAGAACTGAGCCAGAACCTGGTCCCAGAGCAAAGTTGTTGCCTGGGGAGGGCTATTGTGCACTGGAGCTGTCCCTTGTCAGATGAAATAGAGCAGGAGAGCATGAAGTTAACCCTAGAGGACCCCTGGGCAGAGTAGGCAGGGCCCACAGGGAAACAGCTGCTCACTGCCCTTGCCTGGAGGCCTCTCAGCACTCTGTGTGTTCCCAAGGCTCTGAGATACAGGGGATCTTCTTAAGTACTGAGATGTCCTCTGCTAGGGACATGCCTTTCTTAGGTACTTGAGGTACTTCCCTCTCATTTGATACCTGTTACCCTTTGGCTGCCCCTCCAGGGAGGTGGGGAAGGGTCCCAACAATTAGGACTTTTGACTGCAATTAGTTCCAGCTCCATTTTGCAATGCTGGGGGCTCAGTTTCCCTTCTTTGAAACCAGGCCTGCTTCCAACCTTAGCTGACTGAAGGGCGGGCCTCTCTGCTTCTTGACTTCCTGTTTGTGAGTGGTTAGGTCCTGTGGCTTCTCTCTTGTTGTCTCTTCACAAGTCAGGTTATCTGGGCTGCCATCTCCAGCCTGCTAAGTGAGGGCCCCAGGCCCATGCAGCTGGAGAGGAAGTCTTGGCTTTCTTCTTATTTCTCTTTCTAGGCCTGCTCTTATTATAGGATTATTCTTTTAAAAGACCATTTTTCTCCATGTTTCCTCTTTGCCCAGTCTCTGCTTGTAAACCCTCTTCCACCTATACTCAGTTCCTTTTCTGATGGGCCCCCTGTGACTCTGAGTTTGCCACTGCAATATTCAAACTGCCCAACTCCCTGGGCCCCGTGAACCCCATGCTGGACTACTGTACTTGCTATAATGCAAAAAGTAGGTATGTGTAATGTTCATATACGAATAAACAACCTGTGAAACTCCACATCATGTACAGCCACAAGAATGGATTCAAATTAGAATGTTATATTTCATGAGTATATGTCAAAATACACTCTATTGTCATATATAAAAGAATAAAATAAAAAATATTTTCAAAAAAGAAGTAAGTGTGTGTAGAGGTATGTATGTGTGTTCTACTTCACCACCTAAGATTCAGTGTTCACTACATTTAGGAGCCAGGTGTCTCAGACCCAATGCTCAGTCCCTACTCTGGCCACAAACTGTTCACACCAACACTCAAAACTCCTCTACGCGGTCTATCAAACTGGGAGCACTTGATGACAGGTCCTGTGACTTTTTCTCCTCAGACTCAGCTTTACCTGCCATAGTCTCAGCTTGGCACACAAAGATGGGTGCCCCTAAAGTCAGTGTGGAGGGGATGGGAATGAAGGATTATGACCTCACAGCCCTTCAGGATCCCAAAATCATACTCCAGTGGCCTCACCCCTCTCAGCTGAGAAAGGGCTGTTCCCCCAATCCTAATTCCTCTAAGCAGGAATCTGATCCCTGGAATAAGAATGTCAGAATCAGAAAAAACTCTGGAGGACATTTTTATAACAGAATCCAAGGGAGCGGAAATTGCCCAGTAAATGAGTGGCCCAGCCCAGACCGACTGCCAAGGAGGTGGAGTTTGGAGTATCAACTTGAACTCTCCCCTCTACCAAGTCAGACATCAAGACCTCCTCTTTCAGCCACAGGCCACCATCAAGGGTTTAGTTTCTCTCGTCCTGTGTGACTCAGGCAATAGGTGTCTTTAGGGGGTGGGAAGGGGAGTTAGGCCTCTCCCACAGAGGACCTGTCTTCTCAACCCACCCCAACTCTTTCCAGTCACCCTCCCAAGCACTGGACCTGGAGTCCCAAGAAAGGCTTCTTGTGTCTTTCTGGGAAGAGGCAAGTGTGTTCAGGAGTGTGCAGTTGGCCTTTCTCTAGGTGTGTCTGTAGGCCTGAGCTGGCTGTGTCGACAGGGTTTCTGTGGCTCTGGGCCTGCTGTGTCTCTGAAAAGAAGACTGAATCTTTGGGGCTTTTCAGGCAGTGTGTATGTGGGTGTGTGTGTGTGACCACACAGGCACCTGCTAGTCAGTCACACAGGCTACACATGTTGGGGCTGGGTTGGGTCAGCTGAGAGCAGAACTTCCAGGCCAGTATCCTGGACCACTTCACACATTGTACACTCACTCTTCCAACACTTCTTAGTGTCTCTGTGTCCTTATCTCAGACTCTGCCCTTTCCCCTGTCCTTGATTTTGATTCTGGTCCTGTCCCATTTCTTTTGGTTTGAGGCCTAGCAGATCTAGCAGTCACTTCAGGATGGAGAAAACCAGGGTGCAGGAAGCCTGAGCCCCTCCTCAATTTCATCCTTCATCAGCCTCAACTCAGGACAGGAACCAGGGCAAACCCCAGCCTCTCCAGAAACCTCCTGACCCCAGAAGCTCTGTGGACAGAGAGGCTGGGCTCTGGCCTCTCCCCTTAAAACAAATACAAAATACCAAGGAAAAGTAGCTTCTTGTTACAAGGGAGCAGCCATCAGGGACACCCACACCCTGCTCAGGGCAGGGGAGGAGCTGGTTTGGATACTGTTAGAGTAATGAGTGTGTCCCTTGGAACACTGAGGGGGTCCGGGACATAGCTGGGCCCAGAAGACAAGCCCTCTGCCTCCCATTCTATATAGCTCCCTTTTGCCTTTGAAGTTATGGCTATGGGGGTGCTTTAAGCAGGGGTGGGAACAAGATGCTTCAGGAGGAGGGCTTGAAGAATTGAGGTCCAAGAACCCAGGTTGCTGCAGGACTTTGATATTCTTATCCTCTTATCGCCTGGGGCAGTCACTTCCCCTCCACCCAGGTCTGAGGCAACGGTGGTCTCTTAAAGGAGCAGTGTCTATTTCTGACCAGTGACCCCACAAGGCCTCCTTGTCTCTTTTTCTTTAGACCCTCGCAGAAAGGCCCTGTTTCACCTTTCTCTGTTCCATTTCGGGAGGCTGGAAATGGATAGCAATTTTCCAGTTCAAAGGTCCCCTGTACTGCAGGGAAGGATATGGGGCAATTTCCCTCTCCCTGAAGCCCTAGACCAACACTATTCTGGGCCCTGAAGTCTATGTGGGCCTGTTCCTGGGTGGTGGAGCTAGAGAAGAGGCCCATGGCCTTCTGGGAAGGAGTCAGTGATGGTTCATACACACTCCTATCTTTTCTACTTTCCTTCATATGTATTCTTCTTGATTCCAGAACCAAGCCCACTGAGGGGTTTTGACAACTCTGGGGAAAACATATGGCCCCAACTCAACTACCCCAGTTTTCCTCCCCCCAAACTCACACCCTGCTACCTTCCCCCAGCCAGGGGCCCTGGGCTGGGCAGCTTCCTGTCTTCCCCATGGGGAAAGCGGGGGTGACATGCAGGTGGGCGGGCCACCATGCCCACATCCGGTGGCCTCCAAAACCTCTCCTTGGAGCCCTTTTTCTCTCCTTTCCTCCAATCCTCCCTTTTCTCCTGTCCCTACGGCCCCTATGCCCTACCCAAGGGCCCTTGTCCTCACCAATGTTCTGCCCTGCCCTGAGGGACATAGGAACACACAGCCCAGTGCCAACAGGCCCATCTGGCCTGAATGTGACCCCCATGTTGTGCTGAGGGGACAGGCCTAGTCTGCAGACAGGAACTAGGGAACGGGTATAGTTCTGGAGGATGCTGAGGACAATTGACTCCAAGGAGGGTTTTGGGGTGTTCTGGCCTGGGCCTCTAGCTCTGTGACATGCATCGGTAACTCCATAGCCTCACTGGGGAGCACACAGAGAGGAGCCATGGTGTGGTCTGAATTCTGACAGAGAAGAGAGTTTTCTGGACTGAAGTCAGTGGGGGTGGGGCTCAGACAGAATGTCCTTTTCTTGTGCTGGAATTCAGTACTTGTTTGGGGCACTCACGGAAGGCTCTGTCAGGGAGAACCTGTCTTCTAGGGTCACCTCCTATGCCCTGAGTCAGTCCTAGACTCTTGAACATCCCTTGGAGCTGGTGCCATGGGGGAAGGGCAGGCCTGGGATCCCAGAAGCCACCTGCCCAGGGCATGTAAGATGGTCGCTTCAGGCCCCCTCCCGCCAATACCCAGCTTTGTCTCTGGTTTCCTGTCAGTCTGTCCTCCCCAGGGAGGGGAGGGGTGGCTAATCTCCACTGCGGTGTGGGGGCGGGCTCCAAGACCGTTGGGCGCCCTGAGATCTGACCCACGTGGCCTTGCGTTTATAAGCCCTGCCCGCCCTGAAGGGAACCCCACTTCGGAGCCTGGAGCACAGGGCTTGCTCCCCTCAGCACCGCAGCACCAGGTAAGGACTTGAACCTTCACTTTAGCCTCAAGCAGGGCTCCTTCACTCTGGGCCTCAGGGGGCCATGGGGGGGCTTGGGTTGCAAGTTCTGGGTAGAGATGCTCGGGGTGGGGAGGTCAGGAACTTGAGTGCCAAGGCTTCCTGGCAAAGCTCTAGGCAAAGAGGTGCAATAACTGTCCAACTCACCTGGCTTCATGAGGGGACAGTTCCTTAACATCCTTTTAAACCTCTACTAGAAGTAGGATTAAAGGGTGAAATGGGGTGGGTGTGGTGACGCATGCCTGTAATCCCAGAGGCTCAGGAGGCTGAGACAGGAGGATTGCTAGTTGAAAGGCAGCCTCAGAATTTTATCGAGGCCTTAAGCAATTTAACAAAATCCTGCCTCACAATAAAAAATAAAAAGGGCTGGGGATGTGGCTCAGTGGTTAAGGGCTCGTGGATTCAATCCCTGGTACTAGGAGGGAAAAATATAAAATGGCTCCTCTTGTCCCCAGATGAAAGAGGTACCCAAGGCTCTGAGGAAAGAGGGCTGAAGAGTAGGGTGGAGATGGCAGAGTGTGGGCAAAGGCCGAAAAGCAGGACCAGTGTCAGCAACAGGCGCTAAGCCCCTTCCTCCACCCGACTTGGCCACCATTTCTGTTGATATACTCTTAGGCTCCTGCCTGGGGAGCAGCCGGCAGTGAGGGAGTCAGGGCCTTGGGCTAGTGGGGAGGCTGGGGCCAGAGGCCTTGGAGGGGAGGAGGCTGGGGGTGCCTCAGTTGAACTCTGGACAGTGGGTAGTGTGGCTGGGAGGGGCCAGCCAGGGGGTTGCATAATTGGAGATGAGTGTGAGACCCCTGAAGTAGCCAGGGCCTCTCTACCTGAATGCCCCTGAGAGTGGGGGTGGTGGTGGGGTGGAGCCCTAGGGAGAAGGGAAGAGGGAACCAAAGAGGAAGTGGGGGGAGGGAGGTAGAGGAGGCAAGTATGGCGCCATGCTGAGTCACGGCCCACAAGGCCCTGGGCGGGCCCTTTGGGGGCCATGGGCTGGTGGAGGGGTCTTAGGAAGCTCCTGGGAGGGCTAGGGGATCTTGAAGCAGGAATCAGAAGGAGAAGCGGGTGGCCTGAAGATCACACGCAGACGAACAGACAGACAGTGCAGTCACCCATAAAGTAGAAAGCACTACTAACAGCACTGGAGGGTGTAGTGTTTCCTACTTTATGGATGAGTGTACTGTGGGCTTCGGAGACCACGCCACGCGGCCGCCACCCGCCACCGTCTTCCTCTACTTCAGGACCCTGAGACAGGTGAGCACCTCACTATCTCCCCCACCCTGCCCAGACTTCTGGAAGGCCTCCACTTCGCCCCCACAAGTGCTGCCCTTCCTGGTCCTGGACAACTGGAAACATAATCCATCAGGTCCTCTGCTGTGCTGAAGTCCTGGAGGGTGTGGGGAAGGCTGGACATGTGGGCCCTGGTGCAGCAGCCGCAAGATGGAGGGAAATGTGTGGGGTGCCAGGGGCCCTGATGCTAATAAAGAATGGACTCTGCTTTTCTTTTGTCTGAGACTCTGTTGCTGGGCAAAGGGGTGGTGGGGTGCTGAGTGGAGTAGCAGGCACATGGACAATGTGGGTGCACAGAAGGCTGGGAAGGGAGTCCCTCTCACTTGCCTGAGAGAAAGAAGGTTTGTCCCTGACCACAAGATCAGGAGAGGATTCCAGGACTGGCCAGGCTACAGTGGGGGTGGGTTGGGGAGGTCTGGGCCACTGAGCAAGGACATCCTGATAATCTGAAGATGGGCACCACATGGAGGGGCAGAGCTATGAGGGGTTCTTCCATTTTTGATTCTAGCTCTAGCCCTGCCCCCACCTTGCTCACTATACCTCAAACAGAAGGCTGCTTGCTTCTGGTTTTAATCCAAATCTAGGAGTCCTTGGTACTATAAGAGTTGGACAAAAACACTATGGCACACATCTATAAGATGATGTGTACAGAGCATCCAATAGATAGACAAGGGCACAGAGACTAATATGCAAAGCATACATACACATGCACGTGCATTGACATAGAGGTGCCATGCATATATGCCAACAAAACACATATGCAGTTATATATGGACACATGTGACATAGCTGGCATATCACACAATGACACATAGATATACATTCAGCCAGGACACACACATATTCAGTAACACAAATAAAACATGAAAATACACATATAGTAACATTCAGATACATATAATGACATTTTTCATACATGGTGATATATAGAAATATATAGATATACTATGGCACATTGTGCGCACAGCATCTTATAGATAAACAAGGGCGCAGACACTAATACACAAAGCATACATACACATGTGCATTTGCAATTACATAGAGGTCCCATGCATATATGCCAACAAAACACGTGCAGCTTCTTATAGACCTCCAACTGCAAGTATGTGTATATGTATACATATATTACACATGTGTATATATATATATATATATATATATATATTACAGTTATATACATATATGCAATTGGCCTGTGTGGGTTTCATATCCAAGGATTCAATCAGTATTGGATTGAAAATATTTTTTAAAAAATTGTGTCTGTAATGACCATGACTTTTTCTTGTCAGTATTCTCTTAGTAATATAGTATAACAGCTATTTACCTCACATTTACATTATATTATGTATTATTAGTAACCTGGAGATGATTTAAAGTGTACAGGAGGGGCTAGAAATGTAGCTTAGTGATAATTTCCTGGCTTGCACAAGGTCCTGAGTTAGATCCCCAACGCCACAAAACAAAACAAACAAAAAAGGAAAAAAAAGTATATGGTAATATGAGTGTAGTTTATGTACAAGCACTACACCATTTTATAGAAGAGACATGTACACCATTTTATATAAGAGATTTGAGTGAATTTTGGTATCCTGGGAGGTGGGTCTTGGAACCAATCCCCATTAGATACAGAGGGATGATTATATGTGTAACCATATCATCAAATACATATGTCATTGTATGTCATATGCATATTTACATGTCTATATGTGTGTCATTATATATTGTTAATGCCATATAATGACATCCTTATACATATATCCTGATTCAGATGTTGCAAATTTATAAACTCACACGAGAATGCCCTCACACACACATAATAGGATATGCACAGACACTGGCAAATAGATAGATGCAAATAGACATAAGTACACACCAATGAGATTCATAGACAATGGTACAATGTCCCCCAAGTGCAGATAAATAAATGTATGTTTATGTTATATGTGCATGGACATAATCACTATGTGCATGTGTACATTCACTGTCCTAAACAGCAGCAACACTCATCTTGTAGTGGCATGCATACTGCTCTACATACTGCTTTAGGGAAGTAAAGATGTCCCCTCCTCTCCATGTACTCCCTCCCCTTAGTTCCATTAGCTCTGGCCTGGGTGGAGCCCACTGTCAGGGGCTCTGTGGTTTAGTGCTACTGCTGCTATTCCACAGGGGTGCCACACGAGGGCCCCCAACCTTGGTTGAGACTAGCTTGTCTGCTAAGACCCAGGTTCAGAGGAGAGAGGGGCTGCCTCTCCAAGGCCTTTTCAAGTATCTTTGTTTCTAGGAACTCTATCTAGTCCCATACCCCATGGGCTGAATCCTGGGTCAGGGGGTTTCCCAGATCCTTGTTCTCAAAAGTCATTTTCTTATAGCAAAAGAGTCTAAGACTAGGGGGGAAAAAAAAAGAAGAAGAACTTCCTGACAATTCAGGGCAAAAGCAGCCCAACAGGTCATGAGGTCTCCCCCTGCTGGCCTGGGACAGGCAGGTTGGTTTCCAAATGTGGTCTGCCAGAGGAAGCTGAAGCAATTTTCTCAGCTGATTTCTACCTCTCTGCTTCTATCTTCCCGTTTTTATCCTTTCATTTCTCTTTGTTTTCTTCAAATCCCGGGTTTCCTGGTCCTGCTCTTCTCCATGGTTGGATCTGTTACATCCTTCCTGTCTCCGTCTCCACCGATCTCAGCAGTCTGTACGTCTCCAGCCTGCTTGGACCCAGGAAGGTGTGAGGGCACATGGGGACAAGGGGTGCGGAGGCCACAAGTGGAGGGCGCTGAGCTGACATCCCGTGAGGAACCTGCTCTTCCCTCTATCCCGACCCTGCCAGCCGGTCCAGCCCACCAGTCCAGCGCCATCGCCATGGAAACCAGCAGCTGACTTCCTATTGGTGGGCGGGAGGGGAGGAGGAGGGGGAGGGGTGGGCAGGCTCTCCCCCGCTCCCCCTCATTCTGAGGCTCAGCCTTCCTCCGCGCCCACCATCTCCGGGCTCCGGGACTGTAAGGGACCCCTGCAGTCCCCCGAGCTGAGGCTAGCAGGGACAGAGACTATGAGGCAAGCAGCCCATCGACCCAGGCCTCCTTAGGACCAGCCCCGCCACCCAGCAAGCGAGTGAGCAGCAGCAGAGAGAGGAGCGGAGATAAAAGACCACAAGGAACCACTGGGGATCACCCCCAACAGCTCCTGAGGACCCTAGCCAGGCTGAGGGGTCATGATGGATGACCAGACTCACAGATGCTGACAGCCACACACCGATACCGATGCACGCAGCTGCACAAAACTGACACACTCAGATACAACCAGTGACAGCATCACACATTGCCACAGCCCTGCAATACAGACACCCCCACACGCAGAAACAACTGGCAACTCTGTAACAGGCACAGACAGTGACATACAGCACCACACTCTTCAACACACACAAGTGGGGGCACCCATCCTCCAAACACACACAAGATAGCATTGACCTGCAGGGGACAGACCTGGAGACACACACACGCATACCCTCACCCAGGCACTGCTGGTGGTGGCCTCGGCACATCCTCCCCACCCCCACAGGGACACCCTCACCTCCCCATATACCCGAGCACTCACACACAACCACCAGCCAACATACCCCCAGCTCCAGCTCTGGCAGCACTGACGCCTTCTGCAGCCTCCTTCGCGGGTGGGGAAGGGCTCAGCCAACCTTGGATGGAGCTTCGGTGAAGCCAAGAGCTCAGAGGGGAAGGGTCTAGCTTGGCATGACCATTGAAAGTCCCCTCACCTGGCTGGGTGATGTTCCCTGGCCTAGGTTCTGGGGTTCCTTGGCAGTACCATGGAGCAACTGACAACCCTCCCTCAGCCTGGGGACCCAGGAGCCATGGAACCCTGGGCACTGCCCGCCTGGCAGAGCTGGACTCCGGGCCAGGGGGGCGAGCCTGGAGACAGAGCCCCAAGCATTGCTGACACTCCGACAGCTTTGCAGGTTGGAGAACTGAGGCCGGAGGAGAGCTGCGAGCCTGAGGGAGCCCAGAGCCCCAGGCCCATGGGGGGCATTGACCCTGAAGGAGCAGAGGCTGGGCTGCCCAGCCTGGGGCAGCAAGCAGTGATCTCTGGTCGTGGTTGTCTGAGGCTGAAGGATGAGGATGTGGAGGCTTTGACTAAGGTAAGGGGATTGGGGAGGGCTGGGGGGTCTGCAAGCTGTGCCTCCCCCATGCTGGCCAGGAGGCAAAGCAAAATATGCAACCCTGCTGCCCACCTCTTTTCTCCGTCTGTTTGTCCGAGGTTCTGTCTCTGTGACTATCTGTCCTCTCTTCATTAGATATGAATCTCAGTGGCTCCATTTTTTTTTTTAACTATTTGTCCTCTCTACCTGTCTGTCTATATCTGGCCCTGCCCCTCTGTGTCTCTGTCTGACAGTCTGTCTGTCTGTGCCTCCTCCTCCATGAGTCTCTGTCCTCAGAGGGCTGGGGGATTTGGGGGGTGTGAACATGTATGGTAGAATCAGAGTACAAGGAAAGATTCACAGAGAAGGCTCAGTGTGGGGCTGAGCCACAGAGGACAAGGTCTGGGTGAATGCGAGCAGGCTCCTGTAGAAGATGGAGGGATCAGGACTTTGGGAGAGGACAGGGGACTCACCAACCAAGAGCAGTCTGGAGAAATGGGGGTGGAAGCTTGAGCTGGCACTGGCCCGGAGGGGTCAGGGGACAGTTGTGTGCCACCGGGAGCAGGGAGGATGGGATGGTCCCTTCTCCTAGACCCCTGTGCCCCTCTCTGAAGGCCTGGGACATAGGAGAGAACCTTCTCATCTCCATGTCTCCTTAGACTATGGAGGGGAGATGCTTTCACACAGAGAGCGCTTATTGGATGGGATGGGTCTCTGAGGCTCTGTACCTGGTCCTTTCCCATGCCAGGCCAAGGTGAACATGGGCTTTGGTGACAGACCCAATCTGGAGCTCCTGAGGGCCCTGGGTGAGCTGCAGCAGCGCTGTGCCATCCTTAAGGAGGAAAACCAGATGCTGGTGAGACTCGGTGAATGGGGTCTTGATTCCTGGCTGGAGCCAGGCCCTCTGCTCAATGTCTTCCCTTACCCCTTGAACATCTCTCCAAGAGATGTCACAGTCCCAAGACCCGGAGAGGGTGAACCCTTGCCCAGAGTTGCCAGGGGTCCCACTGTGGTCCTGGGTTCTGGTCCAAGCCTGAGAGTAGGAATGGGTCTGTGGGGTGCTCCCTACATGCTAC